CTTCTGTTGTATATTTTAACACCATTAAAAGGTGAAGGGATTTCACTACTAGAGAAAACGCTGAGAAAAATGTATACAATAAACTGTAAATTTTGCAATATATTGGTAAAATATTATTTGAGTTAATAAGTTTTATTTTTATCAAATTATTGAACTTATATGAACACTCTATATTATGTAAAAGTTGAAGTTACTGTATATTAGAGCTTTGTTACTTGTATTTAAATTTTTGAGAAAGTTTTCAAGGAATGTGTGATAAAACCGACGGTTCATAGTGCTCGCCAAGACGAGGCACCATTTTAGTCACGTTTTATGGACGTGATCTTCGTTGTGCATCGTTTTATCTGGTCCGCCAGGAAAACATATCCAGTAATCTTCTTCACAAGCTGCAGTGTGTGATTTTTTAGATTGTAGTAGTAAAGTTTTATATTATAAATAGAAAGGACGATAAAATGAAGTTGCAATATATATAAAAGAACTTATACCATTGTTCTGTAAGATTAGCTTCATAAAAGTCGTTTCTTAAAATACAAGCATTATTAGTTGTTTTTGTTTTATTTAATAAAACTCTAACAGAAATCTTATGTTATCGCTCTCTGATCAGTCACTAATATTAAGACTCTTAAGTCTTCGTATCTGATTGGCATTGTCTAGGAGTTTAATGGCCTTGAAATTCACGTGGTTACAGAGGCTTTTTCGTAACTCTTGGCTAACCTTCTTATTATCTAGATATCTGTATCCATCTGGAGGTCTCAATCCATTTATTCTGATATCGTTATATGATTTAATGTTACTTTCTTTTATACAGCCCCATAGATGTATCCCATATGTTCATATCGGTTTATGGACTTGTTTATACAATAACAATTTGTTATAAGTAGACAAAGTAATTTTTTTTCCATTAAGCAGTACATCTTTCTGAACTTAATTTCTAATTCCGCCTTTTTTTTTCTTTATATTTACTTTCCAACGTAGCTTGAAATCTAATGTCATCCCCAAATATTTTGCTATTGGCATAAGGTATTTGGTATCTATTTATACTAACTGGAATACGTTGTTGTCTTTTGTTAACAAAATTGACATAAACATATTTGTTTCATTCATGCTTTTGCCTGACAACTAGGATTCATGTGTGGCCTGAAAATGTCTCAATTATGTTAGGTTCTAATAATGGAATATCGCTGGTATCGAGCAGGTATAACACTCGCCCCAGGACACTTCCTTGTGGATCTCCTGCTTTAACTTCTCTTAATTTTGAGTATACTTCCTCATATTTATCTCAAAAGTATCTGTCGGATATATATAATTCTAGTAGTTCAGAATATTGTTTTGGTAAGTAGCATCTCATTTTGTGATATAATCAGTCATGCCACACTTTGTCAAAAGCCTGCGCTTTATCAGGAAAATTGCGGAACAGACTTTTCCTCTTCTAGAGCTCTTTCTACTATATCCGTTATTTTATACACCTCATTTATCGTTGAGTATATCCATTATTCTATTCACCCAATCTATCATTGAATGTCTTGCTCTAAATGCAAACTGATGATTAAGAATTGGATTTTTTTCTCTATAATCGGTTTTAGTCACTTCAAGAGTAATTTTTCGTATAATTTAGACATGACAGGTAACAGTGAAATATGCCTATTTGAAGAAGCATCTTGTGGTTTTCCTGGTTTAAGTGTCATCATAGTTTCTTCCTTTCCTTTCTACCTTTCGTATCTTTGGTACGTACCTCAGCCTAAAGAAAGCGTTTATAAGATGTGTTAATTTTATTATAGCTTTCCTTGTAAGTTCGTTTAACATTTCCCCAGTAATTAGATCAAATCCAGGAGCTTTCTTTGGATTTATATTTTCTTTTATTTCCAAATATACTTCTTTTGGAGTTACAGGGCTAATCTTCATGTTATCTTGATTAAAGAGCTCCCAGTTAATTATTTCTTTTTCTTCATTTGGTTGAAAAGTATTTTCTAGGTGGCCAGCAAACCTGTTGGCCTTTTGTATATTGCTTCTTGCCCAGCTACCATTAGTATTTATAATTGGTGGATTCTGTATGATTGGCCTTTTTAATCGTTTGGTAGCCTTCCACAATAAGTAATCAGTACCACTACCATTTGATAGTTTACTTAGGTAATGCCACTTGCGTCTTAGTTTTCTTTTTTTTTTTGGTTAATTATTTCTCTATGTTTCTTTCGGGTAGTTATTTCCTTCTATTCTTTCGACACTGTCCGTGCTGTTGTTCCAAACAGCTTGTTGTACATTTTTATTGAGAAATTTTACTTCTACCTCTAGTTGCTTAACGGTTCTTAATGGAACTGAGAGCTTAATCTTCTCTTCAAGGTCTATCTGAAAAATTTTCCAGTCAGTATTTTTGTTAACAAGTCTAGGGGACTTTCTTTTTTGATAACAGTGTTACTGAGTGTAAGAATAATTGGAGAATGGTCCGGGTTCATATCCATTGCGTCTTCTAACTTTATGCAATTTGTTAAAATAGTTCTGACTAAGTCGTGACCCTCAATGCCTATGTTTTGCATTGAAGTCTCCTACAAGAATAAATGTATGCCTTTAAATGGTCCAGAAATCTATATATGGATTTGTCTTGATGGCGGTTTGTAAACTGCTGTGACTATTACCTCATAGTTTAATTTTTACGGATTTGGTCTGAAATTATTTTTGTTCTGTATACCATTTCCTGATAGTGCATAATATTTTCTTTGATTATTACTGCACTACTTTATTTGGCTGCATTATCAGGGTAAGTAGTATAATAAGTTTTATATTAAAACTTATCAATAAATTAAACAACGTTTGTTTTTTGTTAGTTGGTAAAAAATTTTTCTATTCATTTCATTTTATCTGACTTAGTCATATTGACAATTCAGATATATACTATACATTTTAAAGTAGATAATAATTTTAAGGCTGCCCTAGGCCTTAACGGCCTGTTGTGCGTAAAAAAAATAAAAATTTTAAAATGATATTGCCAATATTGTTAAGTTGCGTTTCTGGGACGACTTTATTGTAAGATAGTTCATTCGATTAGATGAAAACTACTTTATCTTAAGAATATTCGTCAAACAAATTGTAGCATGTGATCCTTCTGTAAAATGATGACTGTAAAATTCTCCTGTTAGCGATTTCATGGTAAATCATAAGGAATATCCAGAATTGCATTAAGTAAGCCACAAGAAAAGAGCTTCAGAACAGTATTACAACATAAAAGTTTCGTTCCCTATAACTAAGAAAATTCATTACATTTAATTAAAATTGTTTAAGTGTCGTTGTAGTTTTAATATAATAAAAGTTTGTTTCAAAGTGCGCCAAAGTCGGCGCAAGCCGAGACTTAATCAACACATAGTCCAGGAATGTGGCTTTTCCTACGAGGTAAACATACCATTTTCCGCAAACGTTTAAAATTCGACAGATATTGATTGATTTAAAAAAACGCGATAATTTTATTCCCAAATAAATGGTGCTTTGAAATTCCTCATAAAATTACTTGGGTTACTATGGAAAGGTATTGAGGTTAAATTGTCAAACTTGACGCTTATAAATTTAATTGCTGGTGTTCTCGAAAGTAAAATGATAAGTGATGATGAAATTTCCATTCCTGGGACTCCTCCAGAGCTGATTGAGGCAGTGAATACTGCTTCATTAGAATTATTGCCAAAGAAATCAAGAGAAAAGTACTAAAATGCATACAGACGTTTTATGGATTATCACATGAGTAAAAATACGAGTTCTTTCTCAGAAAATGTTGTAATGGCATACTTCCTAGACCTTTGTTTAAAGATGAAATCTTCAACATTATGGGCCAATTATTCAATGCTGAAGTCAACCCTTGCACTTAAACACAATGTAGATATATCTACATAGCTCAAAAACTTCGTTCTTTATTGAAACGGCAAGCTCAAGTTATAGGGCAAAAAAATCCAAGATTTTAACGAAGGAAGAAATTGAAAAATTTATCCAGGAAGCTCCAGATAAAGAAAATTTAATGATTAAGGTAATTTACAAGGTTTTAATTTCTATTTAGATTATAGCTTTATTTATTTTTTAGGTGGCTGTAATATTTGGTATTTCTGGGGCCTGTAGAATGGATGAGTTAGTCCGAATGACTGTACACGATATAGAAGACTTAGAATCTAAGCTTTAATCAGCATACCTGATTCGAAAACCAACAAACCAAGATCATTTGTAATTAATCAGATCTACTTGAATGTTTATCGAAAGTATGTTTCGTTAAGACCAGAAAATATGAACAGTGACCGATTTTTCTTAAATATCAAAGCGGAAAGGGTTGTAGACAAGTGGTAGGAATTCATCAATTTAGAAAAATGCCCAAAATAATTGCTACTTATTTGAACTTGGTAAATCCGACAGAATATACTGGTCACTGCTTTCGTCGGTCTTCTGCAACAATATTGGTTGACTCTGGTGCGTACGACAAAACATAGTTCAAAGAGAGCAAGAGGCAAATAAAATTTTCACAGTACAAAATATTCAACAAAATGACACTTTTACCCTGCATGTTGTCCAAAATGTTTCTCATAGTTCTAAGAGTGTTCCTTCAATGTTCAATAATTGTACTAACTGTCAAATTACTCTAAAAATAACAAATTGATCTCAAAAATGTATTCAGCAATGACTTGATGTTTTCAAAATATAAAATTAATTCCTTATAAGCAATGTGTTTTCTATCATTTATGTAGAACACTAACAACTGTTCGGAAATATCATTTCCTTACGGTAAGGAAATGACATTTCCTTACAGTAAGGAAGTCCTGACTTTTCTTCAAGAAATTTAGACAGGAATGTCAAAATTTTTTGACGATTTTCGGAAAAATAATATTTTTTATTTTGAAAATACTTCGCCACTTGATTTTAATTTCGCTGTATATTTTAAAGAATTCTAATAAAAGATAACAAATGTTTAATTTATTTTTTTCTTTTCAGCTAATACTGATGGAGAAATTCAATTAACATGATTGTTTCTATTTCAGCTTAGCGAAGAACCGGGATACGTGGTGTACTCCGCGTTGGGCTCTTTCTACATTCCCTCTTGCATCATGGTATTTGTGTACATACGAATTTACTACGCAGCAAAAGCTCGAGCCCGCAGGGGGATCCGTAAGCCACCCCGAAAACAACCTCAGGATGCCGTCACCAGCTTTTCTAACAGCCCAGGGGTAAGTACACGACAACGATTTTATCTACTTGCTGCTTCGTACCCCCTCGGGCGGTACTTATTTAACCTGCCGATTTAACACAAGAAGGCAGTTTATCATAACGATAATCTTATTGGAAACGTTAGAAGCACTTATAAAAATACTGAAATATCTTTATATAAGTGAATATATTTTGTTCATTTTTTGTTTTCTTTTTTTTGGTAAATACTTGCAATATTTGTTTGAAATGTAAAAATAAGACATGCATATATTCATAAACATATGTATGTAAATACATATTTTGTAACATTTTTTTATTTAATTAAAATATTAATTATTTTTAATTCCCTTTACCCATGGTGATAATACGCTGATGGTCGTGTTTACGATCAGAAATTTTTATTGGGAAACTAGCGAAAAATGACTGAAGCAATCTAAACTACCTATTTATTTAAAGACCCCGGTTTGGCTAATTCTTAGTTAATCCTTCCGGTTTTTTTTTTTCATAAATTCGGTAATTATCTTCGTAGGCACGTATAGTAATCTTTCTATAATAACCTAATCCAAAGGATTTTAATTTTCTCGTGTCCAATTTTTGGTACCGTTATTTACCCCGAACTTTCCGATAGTCGTTAAGACCTTATCTTCTTAGAAATAGATACAGGCTGGCCTATGATTTTTGAATGGGAGATATCCCTCCTTTTTTTGATTTAAGTTTGGTAAAATTTTAGAGGAACCATTTTACTTCTGGTGGGACAGTCTTTGCGTAAGGACTAGATCTTACTGTATCTCTATTATCGTACCGTTCTCTGTGCATTTTCTTTCTAAGTGTGTATACACTTGTTTATTTTATTTGTTTATCGTATACTATATTAGATCAGATATAGTTTATAAAGTACCTTGAATGTTAATTAAATTCAGTGTGTAATACAAGTATAGTACTAACTTCAGTGAATTATTGCAGCAGTCATCAGGAATTACTGTAAGTTACCATAATCATTATCTACAATTATTTGGGCGAGTAATATGGTATGGTATCATATCAACTTTCATTATCTGGTGAATCAAAGTTCACCCATGTCTTCACCTGTATTGAGGCAACTACTGAATTTTGCATTCAATTTAAAGAACAGTCAATATTTTGTTACGAATCAAATTCCGTCAGCTACTAAGAAATTTCAATAAGTAATAATTATAAAAAAAGGAAAGTTATGGAAAAGCAAATCACTAATGCTGAAGAACAACAAGGTTTACAAAAGGGCGGTCTATAACAGACGCAGAATTTATAATAAAACAAATAAAAGAAAAAAGCCATAAGAGTTCGGCATGCCAGCGTATATTTGCTTCATTGATTTTACGAAGGCATTTGACAGAGTTTGCCTGGGAGACATTCTAAATATGACCAGTATAACAAAGATACTCCATAACCTAAATAACAACAACGTCACCAAAGTTAGAGCAGGAGACGAATTCACTGAAAATATTCCAACACCAGGAGACATTAGACAAGGCGACAGTTTAAGCCCCTTCTTGTTTAATCTTCTCATATATTATAATCTAATATAATCTAATTTAATTTCGGATATAGAATGGGCAACAAAAGAATTGGTATGGTGTGTTACGCAGACGAAGCAGCAATTATTGCCGAATCAGAAGATAATCTCCAAAGGCAGCCCTTCAGTTCTTTCAAACAAGCCGAATACTAAATATGAACATCTCTACCAACAAAACTAAATGTATGACAATAGCAAAAGATCCGCTCAGCTGTAAATTAGTGTTGAGGACAACCCCATAGAACAGGTGATGCAATTCAGATATCTGGGCATAGATATATCAAGCACCCACGACCCAGTAAAGGACCTGAGGAGTCAGATCAACAAAGCATCTGCACTGTCAGGATGTCTGCGAAAGATAGTCTGTCCAAATCCGTTATATGAGCACAGATAGTAAAATTAGAATCTATAAGACTTGCATACGACCGATCATGACATATGGCATATAAGTGCGCGAAGATACCAACAAAACGAAACAGATGCTAAGGGTTGCCGAAATGAAAACCCTAAGAACAATAATTGGGAAAACAAGAAGAGACAAAGTGAGAAATACAAACATTAGAGAGCAGTGCAAAATTCAAGATATTGTAAGATGGGGAAGGCAGCGCAAAAGAATGTGGTACAAACCATGTAAGACGAATGGATGAGAATAGACTCCCAAAAATTGCCCTAGAAAACCATCCGCCCGGTTCAAGACCCCCCGAAGACCACCTAAAAAGATGGAGGGATAGTTGGCAATCTACCTACCAAGAAATTAACCAGAGGCAGCTTCAGAATTAAACAGATCGAAAGATCTACAAAAAGTAGAAAAAAAAGAAGAATAAAGTATAAACATTTAAGTCTCAGTTTATCATTAAATAATAGTGGGAGATAGCTAATCTTCTTTACCAAGTGCGGTTTGATTAAATTTTTATGTTTTCATTTCTGTAACCTTTTTGAATTTTTGTAAATTTAGATTTTATTAATTTTTGTTATCTTTTATAAAAACTGCAGAGATTTTATATTGAACTAGATTCTGAGGTTCTGTAACCTAGATGATCTTCTTGTTCTGCCTGGACGTCGTGTTCCAAATATTATTTCTTGCAGAATGGCTTTCAAGGAGAGCATATCTGCTTCATTCTTCTAAGGATTATCATCATTTGCGACTTGGTCAATCTACAGAATTTTAAGTATTCTTCGATATAGCCACATCTTAACTGTTTCCAGTTTTCTGCACATATCTTCGTTTAACGTCCACGATTCAACACCATAAAAAGGACAGAGAAGACATAGCATCGCAGCATTCTTACTTTTTTATTACAAGAGAGGTGGTCACTCTTAAAAGAGGCACCAATTCAATTGAAGGTGGATCTAGCCTTTTTGATGTGTGCCCTAATCTCCTGGTTGTTGGTCCATTCTTAATTTATTATGGCAACGAGGTAATTGTAGTGCGTCACTCTTTCTACAATGAACCCTCTGTTATCCTTTTCTTGCTAATTATCGTAAGCTTTGTCTTTTTAACGTTTATATTGAGTCCATATTGTTGACTGTAATACGTGATTTTGTTCATAAGAACTTGTAGGTCTGTCTAAGTTCTCCGCAAATACTATAGTGTCATCTGCATATCTAATGTTGTTTAGCTGATAACCATTATAGGTGGATACCTTTTTTTAGTTTCGTGCAAAGCTTCGATAAATATTCTTTAAGAGTACAGATTAAAAAGTAGAGGAGACAAAATACATTCTTGTTTCATACCACGCATGATTTTCACACAGTCAGTGTGTTCATCTTTAACTCAAAGACTTGCTCTCTGATTTCAGTAAAGATTTATAATTATTTTTAGATCTTAGGTGTTAATTCCTGCTTCTTTTAGTGTTTGCATCATTTGATTTTTGAGTTACCAGTATTTGTATAAACAAATATCAAAGATACAACATTTCTACAAAAAAAAAAAGATATATTTGTTAAGAACTTCAAAATTGAAAAGGTTTCGAGATAATTGCATTTTCCAAATTACCTTTTTAGCTCTAATTTAAGCATCTGAGAATGAATAATACATTTTTTGCTCATAAGCTCCAGTATAAATATACATTTAAAGACTCTAGGGGCCACAAATATATGATTGGTTTTATAGTCACTAATAGAATAATTCACCGAAAGCAGATTCTAGATATAACTGTTAACTTAATGAACAAAAATTCAATGTAGAATCACTATTGAACGACTCTTCAAGAAAAATGTACCAAAGGAGGCTAGGACAAAAGATACAGCTGAAACAAATAGACGACATCGAAGATATAAGCTGTAATGTAAACAAAGCAAGAAAATAAAGAATAGAAAAAAAATACAGGCTAGTAGCATAAGGGAGAGTAATAATCATTTTAGTAATTATTATATATTCCAAATTAAATAAAGAATAAATAAAATACAGCAACGTATACATTTTTAATTATACAAAGAATAACAATTGACCTAGTTTGACACAAGCCCGAATGTTTAACAATTACGAAATCTGTATACCTTCGTGAAAATTAATACAACGAAGCGACACAACCATCGAATGTTACATTCCACACGTGGAACAGTACAGATCAGCAAAATAAACTAAGAATGTTCGCGGGACATAAAAACTAAACAAATTGGTCAACCAGGCAGTAGTATCGAGGGAGCGCTCAAGGCATTAATTGCCAGCTCCGTGAGCGCTCGGACGCGATAGCCTCCAGTACGCGATCAGTAATAGCTGGGCACCCGTGAATGTCCACTCAGGTAGTAATTGCCCGCGGTAGCATCCACAAGTCAGTATTAACGGCGAAGTGCTGTTGCGACGATAGGCGGCTCCAGATACGTGAACGCGCGATTGTTATATTTTGCCTATTATAGTTCGAAAAAAGTGTCGGCTACCGGGCTGAGTGAAAGGTTACATGCCAGATCGCAACATTCTCCACAACTGACTCGAATTCCAGAAAGACTGAAAGGCGTATTTATTAGCTAGAGCCTAAATACGCGAAAGGTAACAAAATTCTATATAATATATCCGAGTAAATTATAGTAATATAGATTGTCACTCCTCTACTTTCTTGCTAAGATCTCTTCTCGTCTCCCTTCGCACCGAACGAGTATATTAATTATATCTGAGAGATTGTTGACTTAATTGTAAACCACATAGTATATTCAATACATTTTTAGACTCTCAAATTTGGTTTTTATGTTCCTTCCGGCCGATTCAGACAGAGACCAGAAAAGTACAAAATTTCTGCTTATGCATATCTCCGGCTTCTAAAGTAAGCCAATAGACTCAACCTTTTACAGGACCTAAGACCTAGAAGTCCTTAACCCCTATCCCGAAGTTCCATACCTTCTCATAAATCCACGAAGACGAACCAGCCGGTTCTGACTAGTGGGACCAGGAAGCATTGCAGCTGCTCGCAGGGATAAGCATACTTAAGGTTCATATCGATGATGTTACAGTGGTAACAGCGTTGTACAGTG